TAATCTCAGCACTTTGGGAGGCCAGGGCGGGCGGATCGCTTGAACTCAGGAGTTCAAGACAAGCCTGGGCAACATGGCGAAACCCTGTCTCTACAAAATATGTAAAAATTAGCCAGTTAGGTGTGGGTTTCCACCTGGGACTCCAGCTACTTGTGAAGCTGAGGTGAGAGGACTGCTTGAGCCCAGGAGGCAGAGGTTGCAGTGAGCCATGATTGTGCCATTGCACTCTAGCTCAGGCAACAGAGCAAGATCCTGTCTCAAAACACACACACACATATTTATCTTACGGTTTTGGAATTTAGAAATCTGACTCACGCCTCACTGGGCTCCAGTTGTCAGCAGGGCTGTGCTCTTTCTGGAGGTTCTGGGGGCATCCTTTTCTTTGGTCCTCCCAGCTCCAGAGGCAACCTCCACTACTTGGCTTGTGGAAGGAGCCCTTCCTCCACTCTCAAAGCCAGCAGCATTGTAACTCTCTGACCTGGCTTCAGCTGTCACATCTCCCTCCAGCTCACAACCAGAAAAGGTTCTGAGCTTTCAAGGACCCAACCACACCTAGACAGTCCAGGATCATTTTTCTATCTCAAGGTCTGCAGCCTTAACCACATCTGTGAAGTTCCGTTTGCCAGGAAGGGGAACATATTCACAGGTCCAAGAATAAGGCTGTGGATGTCTCTCGGGGTCGTTATTTGCCGACCACAGGGAGAGTTTGTGAAAGACGGGCTGTCTTTAAATGTCTCAAATGATTTGTAATTAAAGTTATCTCAGCCTGACCTTCATGGAAACTTTAATTATACCTTGTCTTTTATTTTTCAGACAGAGTCTCACTCTGTTATCCGGGCTGGAGTGCAGTGGCATGATCTCGGCTCACCACAGTGGCCTCTGCCTCCCAGGTTCAAGCAATTCTCGTACCTCAGCCTCTGAGTAGCTGAGATTACAGGCATGCACCATTACACCCGGTTAATTTTTTATATTTTTAGTAGAGATGGGGTTTCGCCATGTTGGCCAGGCTGGTCTCGAATTCCTGGCGTGAAGTGAACCACCCCTCTCAGCCTCCCAAAGTGCTGGGATTACAGGCATGAGCCACCACAGCTGGCCTGCATTATCTTTGTTGTGAGATTTTCTATTAATTCTTACATTCACACATTAATTTTCTACACAAATTTGTCATTTCCTCTATATTTTCAAATGTATTGACAAGGTTTTAATGTCTACCACATTTGTAGTGACATCCTCTTTTTTACTCCATTTTTTTACTTTTGAAGAAAAAAACAGGTTTGCTGAGGTATTTACATAGCATAAACAATATTTTGGCTGGGCGCAGTGGCTCACGCCTGTAGTCCCAAAACTTTGGGAGGCCGAGGCAGGCGGATCACGAGGTCAGGAGTTCAAGACCAGCCTGTCCAATATGGTGAAACCCCGTCTCTACTAAAAATACAAAAATCAGCTGGGTGTGGTGGCATGCACCTGTAGCCCCAACTATTCAGGAGGCTGAGGCAGGAGAATCGCTTGAATCCAGGAGGTGGAGGTTGCAGTGAACCGAGATGATGCTACTGCACTCCAGCCTGGGCGACAGAGCAGGTCTCTGTCCAAAAAAAAAAAAAAAAAAAAAGATGAGTGCACAGTTCTGAGTCTTTACAAATATATGTAGCCATGTGACCACCACAATAAACACATGGGATGGAACGTTCTACCACCCCAAAAGGTTTCATGTGCACTTTGAAATCAACCTGTGAAGACTGGCAACCACAGCTTTTTGTTTTTTGAGGCGGATTCTCACTGTCACCCATGCTGGGGTGCAGTGGCACAATCTTGGCTAACTGCAACCTTGGTCTCCCAGGTTCAAGCAATTCTTCGGCCTCAGCCTCCCAGGTAGCTAAGACTACAAGTACATGCCACCATGCCGGGCTAATTTTTGTATTTTTACTAGAGACGGGGTTTCATCACGCTGGCCAGGCTGGTCTTGAATACCCGACCTCAGGTGATCGCCCACCTTGCCTCCCAAAGTGCTGGGATTACAGGCGTGAGCCACCGCGCCCAGCACAACCAGTTTTGTCCCTGTAGTTGTGCTTTGGAAAAAATGTCACATAAATGAAGTCATGCTGTACGTAGCCTTCTGTGTCTGGCTTGAGAGCGTAATATGATTGGGATTCATCTGTGGTTTTCCACGCACCAGTAGCTTGTTCCTTTTCATTGTATGGATGAACCACAACTTGTTTGTGTGTTCACCAGTTGATGGACACTTGGGCTGTTTTGGGTTTTGGCAGATTATGAAGGCTGCCACAAACTTTTAGACAGGTCCTGGTGGGACAGGTATCTTCATTCCTCTTGAGTACACATCTAGGACTGGGATTGCTGGGTTGTATGGTGCTGAGCAAAACAAGTTCCCTTAGAGACATTTTTTCACTTTTTATTATTGATTTCTACCTTAACTGTATTATGATCAAGAATATAAAGGTATTGAGGCTTGCTTTACAGTAAAACATAGTCAACTCTATGTTCCACGTGTGCCTGAAGCATTCCCCGGGTGCATTGTTTTATCTGCGCTCACAAGGCAAGGCTGTTGCATAGTTTCTTCAAGTCTCCCATATCTGCACTAATTTTCAGTCTGCTTGTCCTATCATTCACAAGCGGTATGTTTAAATCGCTAAGTGGGGATCTGTATTTTCCTATATTCCCATCAATCTTTGCTCTAAATATGCTGAAGCTATTATTTTGTACATAGGGATGTATAGCTGAGAACTGCTATTTATTTTACAAGTTTTCTCTCATCTCTGGCGATGCTTTTGGCCTTAAAGTTATCTTAATATATTGAAAATATGGCCAGGCACAATGGCTCATGCCTGTATTTCTAACACTTTGGGAGGCTGAGGTGGGAGGATCACTTGCGGCCAGGAGTTTGAGACCAGCCTGGGTGAGACTCTGTCTCTACCAAAAAAGGAAAAAAAAAAAAAAAATTAGTCAAGCATGGTGATGTGCCTAAGGCAGGAGGACTGTTGGAGACCAGGAGTTTGAGGCTGCAGTGAGCTATGACTGTGCCACTGCACAACAGGTTGAGCAACAGAGCAAGACCCTGTCAAGAAAAAAAAAAAAAGCTACACATTAGCTTTTGGTTAAAATTTGCATGATGTACCTTTTCCCATCTTCTTTTAACCTTTCTGTTGTCTATAAAGACAAAGTTCTAGACTGTTCTCTTGTAAACTACATATAGCTGCTTTTTTAGGAAACTTATTTTAAAAAATTGAGCATGTAATCCAAGTACTTACTGATACATTTGGGTCTAAATCTACCATATTACTACATGTGTTCTGGTTGTCACACCTGTGCTATTTCCTGTAGTTTTTTTTTTTTCCTGTATTAGCATTTTAAAACCAGTTTTCCTCCTATTAGCCTGGAAGTTACACACATCACCATGTTTCATGGTTACCTTAGAGATGGCGAGAAGCAATTCTGATTTACCTGTGTGACTGGGACTCTTAACCACTTCCCAGTTAATGCAAGAACCTGAGATCCCTCGATTTACCCCATTCCTTTCTTGCCACTATTTTCTCATATTTTAATTCACTATGTATTTTCAAGTCCATAAAACGTTGTAATTGTTTTATACAGGCTATTCATTTGGATTTATCCATACAGCTACCATTTTCATGACTATACATTCCTTTCTACATCAGTATTGTTTAAACATACCTTACGTGAGTCTATTGTATCTCCCTAAAGGGTTGGCCTGCCCCTGGCCCAGCTGCCCCTGCCTGCCAATATCTCCTTCCCATAAACCCTGGAGAACACCTAACCTTGTGAGGCCAAGCCTTTCAATGGCTCCCACTGCCTGCTGGACAGGATTTATAAACTCTTTCCTGACCCATTCCTTACCTGCTTCTGAAACCTGGCCCTTACCAGAGTCCCGCTCCTCGCTGGTACTCTGATTCTTTCATACTCTGGACAAACTGCTCCAGTCCTTCAGGACCAGTCACTTCCTTGGACGGCTCCTCGTGATCTGTGAGGAGAGGCAGACACCCTTTTGAGAGTGCCCTGCTCCAAACCCACTTGGTTGTCCAGCCTGCTCCAGCTGCTCCATGATGCATAGATGGCCTGAATCATGTGTGTGTCCCCATTTCCTGACCCAATAGGAACATAGGGCCTACACTGAGGTTATCCACAATATAGTGATAATAACCCCTGTAATGCTTTTTCCTTGTGTTGCTTTGAAGTTCAAATCCTAGTCTATGTGAAACAGCTTTAAAAGTTGGAGGGAGTATGTACCAGGATTAATGGCTGTTTCATAAGCTTAATGGGAAAAATTTTTAACAAAACATGAGTAGCTTTATTTTATTCCCAGGAGATTAATTTAAGCATCAGTGGATAATTCATTTTCTAATCATGTGCCTGATAATAAATTAGCTTTGTAATAAGAAGTCATTGTTAAAAATTTTTTTCTTTGTTGTTGAACTCTTTTAAAATAAAATCTTACATGAGACCCAAATATATGAAATAAATTTAAAATTCACATTGTGGTTGAAGCAGGAGTGAGGCTTTCTCACAGCAGTCATCAGCAGTACAAAACCACCGCCCTGCTGTTAAGTCCAGAGAGTCTTAGGCAGGTTTATTACGTTCTTTTCAACTAGAAACTTGAATAACTGTTTACCATTCCAACAACCCATCTCACATTTCGACGTACCTTCTTCAGAGTTAAGGAGAGCTGCTTTATAAACAGTGTGGTCAGATATAGCCACGTATGTAACAAACACTCCCGCAGAGTCATTGAGTCCCTCTGTGAACAGTCTGCTCAGCTGGCACTAAGTACTGTGGCGCGCTGGCCTGGCTCTGTACTTCAGGTCACCTACCCTCCAGGACTCCCTGCCTACCAGAACCCAGGTGTCACTGATCTTGCGAAGAAACTTCTGAGCTTGTTCTGTGACACATATAATTTACTGAATTTTTTAAGACTGAGAGATATCTGTGAATTTCAAACGCAAAAATAAAATTTAAAGTGTCCAGATAAATTGTGTTATGCAAGGTTTTATTTACAACTTGGATGACTTTATGATTGCTCAGAATCTGACACAGACTAATAAGTTTTATTGTCTGAAAATACTCATAAAATACCTCATCTCCAAAATAATTCAAATGAGTAATTAAATGAATGTTTTGAAAATGACAGTTTTCAAAAAGGAAAATTAAACACATTTTAGTAAATATATGTTTTATTTGTCAAGAGTAAATGTCAGTTTTATTTAGAATACTCAAGTACAAAAAATGAAAATTTATATATCTATGACTGTTAAGAAATGTTAGAAATCATTAAAATGTTCTGAGAATACTAGTAAGGCACTGAGTGCAAATACCACCTGAAATATGAATTATGTGCATTTTCATATCTTTAATATTCAGATGTTCCTAGTTATTTTCTCAAAATGTATTTTTAATAAAATGATTCAACCTTATTATTTTTCCCCTGGAAGACAGAGTTTAAACAAGCATGTAATGAAAAGTTTTCCTAATAAAAGCTGTGATACACTCATACTCAAAGGTACTTTATCATTAGGAAAAAAGAGTTTATATATTTGGATGTTTTAACTTTTAAAGATATTTTGTTCCACCACAGTAATACATCAGCCATAATAAGGCATAATAAAGCATGAAGTCATATTAAATAATTTGACATAAAAGCTTAAGATCGTATCACCAATTGGGTAACTGTATCAAAAATTTTTAAATTCTATAAAACTATTAAGAGGTTAGAGTTTCAGCTCTATAATACATCCCAAAACATATTCCCCAAAATTTTTAGTATAAAAAAGGTTCACCTTGGAATATAAATGCAATCATATAGTCACGATATTAATGGGTTCTGTATTTTCAATGGCACTGACACTTTGCTCTTTGGTATAATGCACTGCAGTGACAATAGCTTGGTAGCAAGACAAAAGATTTGGATTCATCACAAAACAGCAACTTAAAAATTTCTAACAACAGTGAATATATATGAATATGTAGGTACAAGCTGAGTATCCCTTATCCAAAATGCTAGGGACCAGAAGTGTTTTGGATTTCAGATTCTGGAATATCTGCATATATACAATGGGACCTGACTAATTACATAATTCAGGTTTCACATCCACCTTATACATATAGCCTGAAAGTAATTTATATAACATTTTTAATAATTTTGTGCAAGAAACAAAATCCGTTTAAACTGAACCATCAGAAAGCAAAGGTGTCAGGTGGGGAATTTTCCACTTGTGGGGTCAAGTCAGTGCTCAGAAAGATTCAGATTTTGAAGCTTCTGGATTTCAGATTTTTGAATTAGAGATGCTCAACTTGTAGAATCATTCACTCTGGCTTATGTATTGACCTTGTACTTGAAAGTACTTTTCCATAAATATCAGTAACTGTGGCCGTTCACCAAATATAGAAGTGATAAAACAAATAAAAACAGCAAAATCAAAGCACACTTCTAGTTTTTTTTTAATAAAGTTTGCTTGTGATGATGACCTTCTGTGCTCTGGAACTTCTGTTTTACAAAAAATTGGAGCTGGAAAGAAAAAGAACCTTTTGATTGGTACACTTTGAAAGAAAACATTCAAGAAGTAAAAATTAGTAAATATGCACCTAGTATATTATAGGATATCTGGCTATGGGACTTTGAAAAAGCAAAGAAAAAACCAAAAACACCAAACCATATTTTCTTGAAGATAAATTCTTCTAGAGAGCTCTCAAAAAATACGGGTTTGGCCCTGATTTTGCAAACAACAGCAGGGTTCTCAAGTGGAGCAGGGAAATAATTTTTACAAGGTAAATGTAAATTATCTTTCATATAGGCGAAAAAATGGGAAATCTAATTTTAGTAACACTGGGTTAAGATGAAAGGAAAAAAGGTATTAATAAAAGAGCTATAAGCTTTAAAATTCAAAGCAGGTTGAAAAGCAGTGATAAATTTATAGTTTATCTTTTGAAATTCAATGCTTGAATAAAATACAGCTTTTATACTACTTATTCTTTAAAAAGTAATTGCATGCCTACTATGTACCAGACAACTGCTCTAGGCTCTGGGGATGGCTATATCAATGAACAAGATAATGATCCATGCCCTTGCAGAGTTTACATTAAAAGATCATACATGCGAATTCCTTCTTCTTTTCCCAAAAAAAACCCTGTAAAATATATAAGCCAATAAAACCTGCCAAAGTCCTGTGGTTTACTTCTCCATGTTTAAAAAATTGAAAGCCACCAATGGGCCAAGGTTATGTTTTACTATTTTAAAGTTGAGTTGCAATATTCTGAAAATGGGTCTGACATAGATGCAGTGAGAGCATTAAACCAGATGTGTTGCTCTGTGGGGAACATGGGAGCATGCAAAGCTGCTAGCACAGAGGCAGCTAGAGTAAACTGAGGCAGAGTCCACCAAATGAGCATTCTGAACAGAACAAGGCGTGATGAATTTCCTCAGCAGCCAAATAGTTAAACCAACAGGGACATCTTTAGTGGGAGAAATAAAACAAGGGACACAAAGTACAGAAGGAAATTATCAAAAAGGAAAAATAAACTTATTTTCTAAAACTTGGGTAACTGATTTTAACACATACCCCAAACCTACACGCCTTGTGATTATCATCCACATGCTACTCATGGCCGCCCCCTTGCACTGTGGCCCTCTCTACCTTTCTCTGCATCTTTACGTCCACCACTGTTTTCACAAGTTCTGACATCAACGCACAGGAGTTCGAATCCACAGCTTGGTTCCCTTATTAAAATAAAAATTCTCACAAAATCAGTATCAGTAGAATTTGTTCTAAAAAAATGAACCTAAGAATTAGTTTAATGAAATACTATCTATGTCTATAATTCCCCAACAAAGGGTACAGCTTCATTTAGACATGAAATTCAAAATAACTCATGGTAGGTCAGTAGCCATTAGCTGTGTACTAGGGTCACGACTGGGCTATGAAATAAGAGCAGCCATTTTTCCCCCAGCTAACTGATCCTTTCTACACTGTGATGTATTTTTATTTTGTTCATTCATTCATTTTGGCAAATACTGAACACATAACATGTGCCAGGTGCTGTTCTGGATGCTGGGGAAACCGCAGTGGACAAGAGGGACAAGGTCTCTCCTCTCCAAGAGCTGACATTTAGTTGGAGGAGGCAGACAAAGCATAAGGAAGCAGAAGTAAGAAGCGCAAGGAAGATCCGACAGGGCAATGTGACAAGTGCGGGCAGGGCTGCCAAGGAGGGTGGCTGGGTCTCTTACTTCTTACGGTCCTTGTCCTTCCTCAGGTTGCTGCCTGTTGCCAGAAAGGACTGGCCGTGAAATATCTCGGAGGTAGCTTTCTTTTTAGAGAAAGCAATTATTTCTTCTTCCAAAAGTCTTCTCTTTTCTTCAAGTTTCATTCTCTCTTCTTGGTGAAGTCTCTTAAGGTGCTCAAATTTGGCCTGTAGCTGGAAACAAAAGTGCAATCCCCACTACTGACACAGCACGGCAGCAGAGGCACGCTCTCCAGCTCAGCAACACAAAGGCGGACCCCATAGCACAACACAGAATAACCTACACAGTCAAAATCTTCCTGAAGTCTCAGAAGTTCACAGTTCAAGGAAAAGTTTACATATGGAATTCCCTTGGTAACTTTAATTTTAAATGAGTTCCCATGCAAAAAATGCTTAAACTAAATATAATAAAAATCACAGCTTTATGAACAAAACTGTTTTTAAAACACTGTGACCTTTTCCTAGAGTTTTTATTTTCTCAGTGTATATTTTCCCCACAAAACTTCTTAAAGTCTCTTAAGTCCATGCTCAATAAAAATAAGAGATGCAAAGTATAGAAAGAAATCACCAGAAAGGAAAAAAACAACAACACTATTTTCTAAGTAAAATATGTGCAGTAAACAGTTATTGAAAACTGTACTGGTAAACATCACTGGAAAGCAAGTGTCAACTGTCAACTATGTCAAGAATGTCAAAACTGTATTCTATTTTTCCAGTCTTTCAATGTCTTGAGATCTAGGCTTTAAAAAATCCTAAACTCAGAGAAAGTTTTACATATAAAAATATTTATCGTGTTAGAATTTACACTATCCAATAAAGATAAAGTCAAAGAATAAATGCTAAACACATCTGATGCAGCCGCAGGAGAGCAGAATGTGCAGGACAGTTGAGCTGAGGGCAACTAAGCAGCAGCAGATACAGGAAAGCTCTCTGACCTCCCTTTAGGTGCCTAAAGGCAGGATATAGATGTACAAAGACAAAAGGTATCCAGCTCCCTTCCCCAACCAGGGAGAACAAAGGTTAACCAGCAAAGACAACTTCAGACCCTTTTGGGCCTAGAGACTGGTACCAGACAGCTCTACATTAACTAGCTTTACTGACTAGCCTTCATCTGCCAGCTATGTGCCTTCCTCCAAATTGCTGCCCCTAGAGACTCCAAGTCCTTTTCCTTTGTCTTGTCATTTTTGTAAAAATTAACTGTTCTTTGTTGAAGATGCTATAGAAGGTAGAATGCAGTCACTTCTTTGAGAACTACTCATTGACTGTATCACCCATGTATATGTGAAATACACATGCTAATAAACTTGTTTTTCTTTTGTTAATCTGAGAATAAGGGGTCATTCCAATTAAGAACCTATAGGGGTTATTCTTCCCCTATACAACTGTTAAATGAGTTTCACAAAAGTTTATAACATTACCACAAGAGATTTCTCTTAAGTGAAAAAAGCAGAAGAAAAAATTATTTAAAGAATAAAATTCAGTAGTTTTGCATCTCCTTGGGGCTGAAAATCACTTGATAAACCATATAAAGGGAGCAATGTCACCTTGGATGTCAACTTAGGGGCAGGTCTGTCTTTTACTTTATATTTTTCCACAATTTAAGGAATGCCCTATATTTCTCAAAGCTATGAAGGGTATAAAACTCTGGAAACTTACAAATAAAAAGGAAGCTTTAAAACAACTGGGATATACCAAAAGAAAAATTCTATCTAATGTTTTTACCATGATGGCTGGCACTGAGTAAGCACTCAATAAATATTACCCATTGTTAATAACAAAAAATAGGAAACTTATCTTGCTCCAACTGCCACCCCGGGTAGTTCTTTCTGTGCCCTGTGCTCTGTTATAGGTGCAAAAGAGAAACCCTTAGCACACACGTGCTGGGCTAACTGTGGAGCAGCGTCTCCCTGAGGATTACTTAGGAGCTATGTCTTTTTTATTTTTATACCCCCAGCACAGCACACAACGCTGCTCATAAAAGAATTCTAAATGATGTAGAAGAACTAGTAATGAGAAGAAATACAGATGGAAGTTATGTCAAGTTCTGCATGCAAGTTCAAAGAGACAAGGTCCAAGGAAGAATGTAGGTGGTCCTGGTTTAATTGTGGCTTACCTCAAAAAAAAAAAATCTAGGGTCTTAAGCCAGCTCCATACGAATCAGCTGTGTGCTGTGCCCTCTAACAACACAAAGACAGTGTCTAGAATCTACATTTTAAAAGATAACCGTATTTTTGGTCCTCTGATCTGGTTAGGTAAATCTAACATTAACGTTTTAGTTCTGGGTAGAAACCTAGCATTCATGCAAACAAAGCAGGACTTGGTGTCTAGAAAAAGATGACATAGCTGGGCGTGGTGGCTCATGGAGGTTTACAGGCATGAGCCACCGCACCTGGCTATGTCATCTTTTTCTAAGACACCTAGTTGTCTAGAAAGGGGGAGACCTTTGGGAGGCCAAGGCGGGTGGATTGCCTGAGCTCAAGAGGTCAAGACCAGGCTGGGCAACACGGTGAAACCCCGTTTCTACTAATACAAAAAATTAACCAGGTGTGGTGGTGTGCGCCTGTACTCCCAGCTGCTCGGAAGGCTGAGATAGGAGAAATGCTTGAACCCGGGAGGCTGAGGTTGCAGTGAGCCAAGATGGCGCCATTATACTCCAGCCTGGCGCCATTATACTCCAACAGAGTGAGGCTCCATCTCAAAAAAAAAAAAAGATGACATATAACATTTGAGGAAATATTTCACTGAAAATCAGAGACTGAGGGAAGAAACCAGAGAGCTAAACTCTGGTCTAATAAAAGTGTTATGTTCCAAATACAGAACAGGTTGTCCTGTGAGCCAGCGAGCACCTGACAGGAGAAGTATTCCAAGGGAAACAAGGTTAAAACAGATAATCGAATAAGGCCCTTCTAACCTAAGATGCTTTTATTCCAGAGGATGTCTTTTCAGAGAAGCATCAGTTCCTTAGTATTTGTTTATTTAAATGGTTCCTGCTTTTAAAAAAGTTACATGCTAGGTACGTGTGTGTGTTTAAAGGGCACGCTACCCAGATGTCATTCAAATCGGTGGCACAAACAGAGAGTGACAGTTTTCTGCACACGTGTGCACCGGTGATGTGGGAGAGGAGCAGTAGTGGGGCAAAGTCTGGAAAGGAAGCAGCAAGGGCAGGTTTCTATCACGTGACTAGAGATAGCTCTCTGGTTACTCAGATGGAGGTTGCGTACCTCATATGCATACTAAATATCTTGAAAGGTCACAGAGCCCTTCATACATCATTCATGAGGTTGACTAAAAATTTCTAGGAAAACTATAAAGAGGGAAACATTAAACAAGATGGTGGGGAGGTGTGAATGTGACTATTATTCACACTGTGTGGCATTTCCAGCTCTGGCTATCAACAACTATTTCATATACATGAAGCATGCATGCATGGTTCCATTATTCACTATGACAGGCAGTTAATTCAAACACATTTTCAAATTCTCAAAAAATTAAAAACAAGGGATCTTTTGTGCTACCAACAGTCACCAATTCTCTTAAGATTAAGTCATCAATATGGTACGACAGTCTCCCCTTTTCCATGGGGGATACGTTCCAAGACTCCAGGAGGATGCCTGAAACCACAGGTAGTACCATACCCTATGTTTTTTCCTATATATAGACACCTATGGTAAAGTTAAGGCACAGTGTAAGAGACTAACAATAACAATTAATAATACAATAGAACAATTATAACAATATATGTAATAAAAGTTATGCGAATGTGGTTTCTTTCTCTCTCTCTCTCAAAATATCTTATAGTAATATTTTCAGACCGTGGTTGACCACGGGTAACTGAAACCTGAGAAAGCCAAACTGAGGATAAAGGGGGACTACTGTACAATGCTATACCTTTTGTAAACACTACTTTTAAGGATACTACACATTCTGTCACTCAAAGATCCTTTTAAAAGTACCTTTTTTCTTTGGGAGGCCAAGGTGGGCGGATCATGTGAGGTCAGGAGTTCGAGACCAGCCTGACCAACATGGAGAAACCCCGTCTCTACTAAAAATACAAAATTAGCCGGGCATGACGGCGCATGCCTATAATCCCAGCTACTCGGGAGGCTGAGGCAGGAGGATCGCCTGAACACAAGAGGCAGAGGTTGCGGTGGGCCGAGGTTGCGCCACTGCAAAAAAAAAAAAAAGTAACTTTTTTTTTTTGAGACAGAGTCTCACTCTGTTGCCCAGGCTGGAGAGCAGTGGCATAATCTCGGCTCACCGCAACCTCTGCCTCTTGTGTTCAGGCGATTCTCCTGCCTCAGCCTCCCGAGTAGCTGGGACTATAGGCATGCGCCGCCATGCCCGGCTAATTTTTGTATTTTTAGTAGAGATGGGGTTTCACCATATTGGCCAGGCTGGTCTTGAACTCCTGATCTCAAGTGATCCACCCGCCTTGGCCTCCCAAAGTGCTAGGATTACAGGCATGAGCCACCACGCCCGGCCCCATTTTTAGAAATTAGAAATAAATACTAGGGAAAATATTTCACTCTGCTGAGCTAGCAGATGACTTCCATCTAAATTCTGTGTGGTCCCTTCTGCCCCGCCTGCCTAGAAGTTAGAGCCTTAGAGCCCAGTCTTTGTGTTCACTTAAAAATTCCCTCGACCAGGGTTCTCGGCTGCCCTCTGTGCAAACCCCTTCTTCACACCCTGTATTATAAGTCTCCTGTTCTCTTCATGTTCATGGTTGTAATGTAGCTGCATTTTTAAATTGCAAATTACTGAGCATACTTTTTGGAAATATGAGGGGCATAAATGTTAAATGAAAAAATTATCCCAAGATATAGACTGACATATCAAATTGGGTAGTAATAATAACTTAATGATGGTCATGTAACCTGAGGGATAAATATAAATGGTACTTTTTCTTAAAGTGGAGAGGGTATATAAGAAATCGATGTGTCACACACACATGTCTCATGAGTTCTTCTAGAATGTTGTCAATAAAGGAATAGGGAAGACAGAAGGTCAACGATATTTGGAGACATCATTTGTTCTGTGCATCTCCCCACTCTACTCATCTAATGTTCACACACTATTATCTAAGCATACATCATTTTACTAACCTACATATAAAAATCTAGATTTATACAAAAGATAAGGGATATTTGTTTCACAACAATATTGGCAAGGACATA